ACAGCTGTATTTCACCCCACGACCAGTGAACCTCTTCCCCACTCACCCACCACAACACACCAACCCACAGCAATGTGACCCCACCCAAGTTTACAACATCCGCATTCCCTTACAGGGACACGCCACACTGACGGCTATCGGGCCGATCTCAGCACCACCCGCATCTACATCCAACAGCACACCCACCATTTACTACCTGCCCACACCCACCAACATTCGACCCAATCATCCAGAAGCGGGCACGGGACCTCCTGGACCCTGGTGGGATGATGCTGGAGCGCCACCGTGAGAGAGCGCCAGACCTAATTCAAGGTCTTTGATTCTATGTACATGGTTTTTGACCCAATGCTTTCAGCATAGCGATCCTTCCAGCTATTGCAAAATACTTCCAGTTTTGATTCTATTTTTCTTTCTTATTTCGATCTTCGAGATTTTCGATTCGATTTTCTGACGCTTACCACTCGAGCTTCGGACGACTGTTCAACTTCGAAATCTTCAACTTCGCTCCAGTCTCAACTTTTTCAAGACTTCAGCCATTGTGGTTCAAACAATCAGTTTCGACTACCCTCGTGCTCAACGCTCCTTTTTGTACGGAACTACAGTGTTCCCCATCATGGACGCGCATCAACAATGGTGGCAACAATACTATGGCACCACGACACCCACTGCCGGCTATGGACCTCTCACCAACGCAGTGCGTCATCACTACCAACACCCGTATCACCAACATCACGCAAACATCCCTGCCGATCCACCCACAGCCTCTCCAGCACCACCCGCAACGTTTCCACCCGAACCCTTGCCCCCACCCGCAGCATCTCACCACCCAACGCCTCCACAGCTTGGCGTTGTACCCCCCAACATTCCCAACCTACCTGACACATGGACCCCCAGCGACACACATTTGGATACAAATACCGTACATGGTCACACATTATTCCGGACGATCCAGCCGACACAATGGTCCAGGAAATACAACCTCGCAGGACAACAAGTCCTCGACATTTTTCCGTGGCAGCTCAGCCGTTTTGGCCTACAGGACCACAGCCTCCGCATCCTATCCCAAGGACGCTACACAGGCATAGTCACCACCAGATCCATCGCGGAAGCTGTATTCACTTCACAATTGCTGCCTGAGATGCGAGCCCACAACCTGGACATCGACAACATCGCTGAATACTTGCACCAACAAGCTGATCAGTCCATTCCAAACAAAACAACAGAGGCCAAGCAATTCATGCAACCACTTATTTCTCGCATCATTGACTTCCTACGAGGCCTTACACCACCAGCCGGCAAAGGCACAGCACTCCGAAAGCTCCAGCTACAGACTGATCGCTTGCAACAACAAGAGAGCGAACTCCAGCGCGCTCGCGACAAGTTGAAGAATCATGGCATTGCACTCACACCAACCAAGCCGGGGCCACACCCTGCCCCATCATCCGCCACCCACCCACCACATCTCCCACTTACAGCCCCTTCCGCAATTACAACCAACACCATTCTCAACCCCACCACACAAACACTCCATGACAACTCACCAGCCAACTATGCAGCAGCGGGCATTCAAAAATGGCTCAAGACATTACCACCAGCCACTCAGACACAAGTCAACAACATCCAGCAAATTCTTCGAGATGAACGTATCACAAAAGAACAGCTCCAAGAAGCAGCTACCCGCTACGGCATCCCGCTTGCTCGGGTCCTCAAGCTTCCCCCACGTTCACTACAGCAATTGGTGGCCGCGGGCTCGGCATTGGCAGCCTGACTCGCACAACAAGCGCTGCATCAACCAACACATCTTACCCTACAATCTTTAACTACATTGCACACAGCGCTATCACACTTTGTCCATTTCACCCCCTACATTGACAAGTCACACGCTATTTTTTCTGTCAGTCTTATTCACCTTACATGCCTCTTTGCCTTTCCCTCTCAAACACATCACTCTATACATTGGCGCTCCCGTTTCAACCAACTACAAGTTACACCACACACCTACCACTACCAATTGTTCACACATCCTAATGCGGTCTATGCAAAGCTCTTTTTCAACCAACATCACACAAGACACCAGTACCACCAACATGGACACACGTACATCGGCTCTACCAGTATCACTATTCCAAAGCGAGAATACAATCGCCATGCAAAACTCAAACAATTACACAACAACCATCCAATTTCAGCTGAACTTTCCCTACGCTACTGGCACTCCAAGAACAACCTCCACCACTACAGTACCATCTACCTTTCCCATCACGACACCTATGATCAAGCATGGACCTACGAACACTTGCGGATCCAGGAATGGCAACCTACACTCAATTGGCCATACATTCAACGACACCTCAAACTCAAAGCCTCAGGTTGGCAATTCTCAAAACACCGCACCACTTTCACACGCATGTCCACTCACAAACGTCTCTTCCAACGGCTACGACGACGCCAACACACCATTAAGCAGCCCCACCTTCACACAAGTCAACGCCTACACGCCCTGACAGTTTTACGAGAGCTCAGCAAACATACACGTTCATCTTTTGAAACATCAACAGCCATCCGCAGCGGCAAATACACTGATCTCGAAATTTATGCCTTCCGTCGAATGGCCGCCAGCTTAGAGGAACCAGATCGATCACGTGTCCTTCACCTTCTCCACTCAGCGCTCAGCTTTCGCAATCTCACTCCACCAAAAGCCAACAAACCCTTCACCATTCCTTTCCTTTCCCACAGTACCTTCTCGTCCTCCACGGAAAAATGGCTTCGTACATTGATCCAACACCACATGCATCACGTCCTTCCCTTCCACCCACCTACCACCAAATTACGTGAAGCAGCACACAAGACTTTACGTTCACGGCTTTACAACCACAAACGTTGGGAGGAACTCTTCTCCGCACATCCCTCAGCAGCTGACATGCCATGCAGCTGCCACCACATGCACACCCTGCTTCGCCCCAACCACACACCGCAGCTCTATGATGGCCACTACGTGCTTACACTTGACGACCTACAGCTACCCAGCCATCTTGAACTATTCCTACAGGCCAACATGAACAGCACATTCTTTCCCACAAAGACACAATATTTCCAACATTTTGAACAACAACTCACTCACTGGCTACGACACCATGGTCTACCCACCGCCCTCCATCAACACAGCCTACCTTTTCTACACCAACAATGGAAACAGCACATCGACAACATTCTATACACCCCACGCTTTACATCCCGCAACGTTACACAGCTTCAACAGTTTCTTACAGACAAGCTGGTACTCCATCATGCCGACCACGAATTACAAAATTTGCGACTTGTCTGTCCACAACACTACTTTCACGGATGTCTCACCACTTGGAATACACCACAATTATTTCTACCACTACCAGATCTCACTGCCCAACAACTTCACCAGTTTCTCACACAATCGTTCCCCGCCAGCATACGTCGAGCCTACCCATGGGGATTCCGCAAGCAATTCTACACACCACATGGTGTAGTCTTCCTCAAACAAAAGAAATCTTGGCGCAAAGGTAGAACAGTCATCAGCTACTTCAGATCCATTGCTGGCACACTACTACGAGCCACCTCCAAAGCATTAGACATCATGCTCCTTCATCTTCTACCACAACATCCAGGCCAGTTATCCATACCCAACCTGTGGCAACATCTCCACAACCACTTCCAGACCACACCCGACGACATCCACCTCACACCAATCAATGATGACCTCGTCGGCTTCTTCAACAGTGTACCTCAGCAACGCCTCGTCGATGCAGTCATCAGCCTATGCCACCGCTGGAAAACACAACACAATACTACCACCATCACCATAGATGTTCAGTCTACTGGCAATCCCCTCCAACACTCCCACATTGGTCGACACTACATTCACCACCCACAACAACGCACCCTGGACACTCAACACATCCCCCTCATTGTACAACAAGCCCTTCACTCATGCATTTTCCAAGCATGCAACACCTACTACAAACAAATCCAAGGAGCAGGCATTGGCAGCCAGCTCTCACCAGCACTTTGCAATGTCGCAATCACACTCATCGAACACACATGGCAAACCACGTACCACAATTTCTTGCACCAACCCAGCCTTCATTTGCTCAACACCCGCTACGTTGACAACCGATACATTTTGCTCAACGAACAATACAGGTCAGCACTCCCCATCACCACTTTGGCCCATCCTGAATTTTATGAACACCCAGTTGAAGTAGAGCCAGTGGACGACGACCATCTACTCGGTTTCCTGATCGATCCTCTCAACAGAACGGTCACCTTTCAACTCCCCGCTCATCCCTGGCAGATTCGTGATCCGCAGTCTGCAGGGAGTCACAGACTACGCCTCTCAGGCCTACAATCACGCCACCACACGCTACAAAAGTACACTTTCCCAAAACATCTAGTACCCACGACAGCACAGCAGTTGATGCAGCTCTATATGACCAAAGGTCATTCAAAAGAACACTGCGCCGCGGCGCTGCGGCCACGAGGAAAAAGACTATGCGCCAGCACCTTCACACCACTATTTATTATCCAGGTCCTACCTGATCCGATCTAGTTGCGCCGATACGGCTCTTTGTGTGTGTCCAATCCTGTTTCCAAGGACACTACTCTAGTTCTCGTTCTAACCTACCCTACGAATCTTCCAACCACTGTACAGTAGCAGGGGGCACGGCGGCCGTTCACCTAGCCGTGCTAACAAAGCTATGGTGTTCGGTTGGAAGAGATACTGGACGCAGTATCTTGTACCTGCAATTTTTAATTTTCACTCATTGATGCTTCTAAGTCAGTTCAACGCTGTCTCATACGTTGATTTTGCAATAAAGTGCTAATGCTCTCGGCTAATGCTGTACCTAAATGTAAAGGGCTAATGCACACCGCGAAGCAGCCTGAAATCACGCTCCACGGAGCAACCTTCTCAAGTGTGTGCAACTTTGTGCTGTAATTTGAACGGTTCAGTTGCCCTGCCAAGACACAATGTCGCCAATCTTCGGATTTGCAATCGGGTTTGCGATGCATTCAGGCAAGGCTAGATCCACAGCTTCTTTCCTCAAACATACGTCTGCTTGAGGTTGCTAGCTGAAGAACCAAGAATACTGTCGATCAATCAGTTATGTCTCGTCGAAGCAATAAGCTGACTTAGATCAACCCGACCAAATATACAGGTTAGCATTTCTTCCAGATAGGGGAAAGACCTGATGCATCTCCAGAGACAACGCCCAAATGCCCCACCAGGGTTCACCTGTTGAACCTTTGCAACAATGGATGCAACGTGTCTAGGTATGCCTACGCGTTGTGCCAGGAGTCTGGGTCTTCACGAACCAACAGGCAGCCTCTTCGGTCGTGAAATTGCCGCGACCAGACTTGTGCATCGACAAAAGGGCCTCCACCTGCGTGGCAAACAAGCACTGGCAAATTGACTCACAGTTGGATTGCACCAAGTCTTGGGGTTCAGAAAGCTCGGAGGGACAGCTAAGCCGTTTACCGGCTTCGCATGGTGAAAATCACAAGTTGAGCCGTGCACATGATGCACATGCATTGGAATATCAGTGCAACACGGGGATTTGGACCAAAAAAACACTCCGTGACACTCCATTCTCCCTAAGCGCTGCCTGGCCTGCTCCTGGGAGACTTGCAAATAGTCTAGCATGTAGGCAGCTTCTGGTGCTCTGACCTCGCCGTTTGTAGCATGGCTGTGTTTGAGCCACGCACTTCAATGTTCAAAGCAAGCGTCAATAATCATCTATTATTTGGGGACTTTCCTGCACTTAAAGGAGCAATTCCTTGAATCCATGTTCTTCCTAACTCCTTCCTGCAAGTTTCTTTTGGGATTCTAGAGGTTCCCGCAAATTCCAACAAATCTTATCGAGTCTGCCACTTTTTGGAAACAGGATCACTTGCAAACATCAGTGGATCACTTGCAAGCAGGGCTCTGCCAGGTCCTTGCGCCGGAGCTTCCAAATGACGGTAGGCGGCAAATCACCTGCGAAAGAGGCTCCCTGTTGAGCCATTGGTTGAGTCAAGGATCAGCCCTACGCACCTTACGCTGATGCATCACCAACATTTTTGAGTTCATCTACCAGGAGCAAGCATAGTCCCAATAGCAGCAACATCCACAACACAATACTTACGAATATTCTGCTCCCACTTCATTGCATGTCATCTCAGTCATCCCCACTATTTGCTTGATATCTTTGCAATTCTTTGCATGTGTTTTGTTGTTTGGGATTTGGCGGTCAGATTGCTTCCGCCGAGGCGCAGTTGCGTGGGCCATTCGGGGAGCGATCGCTCAGCGTGGTGCAACCCTGGAAGAAATCCGGAAAGGAGATTCGGCCCCGGCCGTGCCTCAGACCAGTGGACTGTTGGGGGACCGTATGTGACCATACGGTCCGCATTTGTCGAAGCATGATGGCATGATGCCGAATTTACATCTTGGTCGCCATAATGAAGCTGCTAGCAATTTAGATCCAGCATGTCATCTGGTTGAGTTACACACCGGTGATCCTAGCTTCTGGATGATTCCTTGTTCCATGTTGCTCCGGTCAGGTGTTGGTAGAGGATGGTAGTGGTATAGCTGCCGTCTTGCTGGCAAGTTGCTTCAGGTCATAAGCGGAGGCAAACTCTGAGGGTGTGTATCCTGAGCGAGGTTTTGCTCTTGGCCCTTGTTGTAGCGTCTTGCCGCTTCCAAGCACATTCTTAAGTCTTAGAAGTCTGAACACTGATGAAAGTCTTGGTGCTCGCGCTCTTTCCACCCTCTCTCTCTCTCTATCTCTCCGTCTGACCGGCCGCAGAACACGTGTATTGCCGTTTATTTGTGTCGCCGAACCCCGAACACTTCAGCGCATAGTGAAGCGTCCGTAAAAAATTGAAGGGATCTTGCGACCAGCAAGAGATTCGACCACCGACCGCTGCTTGCCGCCATAATATGCAAAGGCAATGCCTCAGATGGAGTAGCAGTGGCCACTAGCCTCCCTCAGCACCACACCAAAGGATGGAAGGAAAAGCTTAAAGGCACTGAATAAGCACACGCATCTGGTCATGAGCATTCCTCAAACAAAAAGGCTGCCTACACAAAAAAGGTTGCGAGCTCGCCGGCGCAAAGCCGGCAGTGCCTCGGGTTTCAACTCATCTCAGCTGAACTGTTTGGCTTCAAAGGCACTTAGGTTGTTGTTGGACGCCAGCTGCTCAAAGGTGCCTGAAGTTGACACTCATAACCCCGGGACATATCAAACCTTATCAGACCGGACCGTCAGCATAGACATGTCTATTTACCGTAAATCCGAAACCGTCTATGGCTCTGTATATGTGCGCCCCCGTAGTTCCTCTTCTGGAGCCCTTCTCACTGCCGACTTGAACGAGCACCAATCGCACCTTGAGCCCACAAAGGACTGCCCATGGAGGCTTCGATACAGGGTGCACCTTGGCAATTGTGAGGCCACCAATTGCTGCTGAATTCTCCTGCCAAGAACGGCATTGTGCAAAGAAAGCACAGTAAGAGACCAGGTCGAGCAAGCTCGCGCTTGATCACATTTTCATACATGTTCCATTTCCAAATGGCTGGGACTGGTGCAACCCTGTCTGTCCTTGGCACCAAGGGTTTTGCGAACCCACGGGGCAAAACATGTGTTCATCCCGAATCTCATCCACCTCCTGGCAGCTGAAACAAACCCAGCAACTTGGTTGTAGTTGCAAGAAGGGAATTGTTTGTAGGAGTCGTTGTTGGCATGTAACTAGGCCTACAGTGGGCCTACAGCATCTACAGCATTTCAAACTGAAGCACTTCTGCGTGGCGTTCTTGAGGGTCTAATGTGAAGAAGTATGGGGTTAGAGAACGAACACTTCCAGGCATTATACTCAATGCCAAGTCTCTGTGGCGTTGAACACCTTGAACCCGTTCATTCTAGCATCTGGTCCTTCCTTAGCAGCGCTGATACGCTGCGCAGTTCTTCAAGCCTTGTGTTTAATTCAATCCCAATGATGGAAATTCATACCTCCAGACTGATCTCGGCCGCCTTGCCTCTACGCAATTTGTTCGCAACTCCAACATGTCAGCAGCAACTCAACCATTTCTGGAGTCCCAGCTGCATAAAACTTGTAGAAGTCCGCATAGGACACGTTCTCCACCAGGTCTGGGATGAAGAACAGGCCTTCCCTGCCGGTCCACCCGATTTCCTTTGGGGAGTGGATGACACCACTCCCATCCAAGTAAAGCCTTGGCATGCACGGACGACGCCGTCCTGACTAAAACAGGCAAAGCAGGGCTGCAGAAACAAGCCAACCACATACCACATAAGGTGCCGCTTTTGACTACAAGCACAACAAGGGCCAGAACTGTCGACAGCACTGGGAACGCGGACTGGCACTCATGCTCTCATTAGCTGGCCTTGTATGCTTCTTGTTGATTTTCCATGCACAAAAATGTGCTATTTGATGCTATTTGCTTATTGTTGGAGGATTGTTGGGCCTTTCCTCTCTGAGAGTTCTCAGAGATTGCATTCAAAATATGCAATACAGAAGGCTTGCAATGCATGAGAAAACATCTGCATACATGCCCCTCAAGTCTACACCGAAAAAGACATCAACTCACAATGAGAGTTCCGCACAAATTTTAAAAAGTGAAGCTCGAGCTTGCTCGACTCAGCTACATGACTCAAGAAATCAAGCAAAGCCGTCTTGTTTCAAGTAACTTAATGGCTGGATCAAAAATGTCAACTTGCCAACTCTCCATCTCTGCGTCCATCTGGTTGCCCTCCAGAATGGTGGCCCATTCCTGCTAGGGCACATCCAGAACGGCATCTCTGCATAACTCCAAATAAACCGTTCACAACTTTGTGCTTTTGATTGCTCTTGCAGCCCAGGATCTTTGGCCGGTATGGAGGAGATGTCTTCAAACCGCACCGAATACCCAAGCCTTTCAGACAAAAGTATGCCTGCAATTACTCGCATCAAATCGTGCGAAAGCCAATCTCGTTGCCCAAGACGTATGACCAACTTTGAGTTGTCCATGATCGGCGGTTCATCAAAGCATCTGGTCTTCTGAATGCTGGCCGGCTGGGAGCATAAGCCTGTGGTGCCATCAAAAACCTGAGTCAAGAATCACGTTGACACTTCTTTCGAGAACTGATACATATTGATACCACCCCCCAAAGCACATTGATTTGTCCAAGAAACTGTGTCACTATTGCTATTTGTTGCGCAGGGAGGGGCCAGATCTGCTATTCCTGAAAGCTGGCAGTATTGTCCAATTGGAGCCAATTCAAACACACCAAACCAAACTTATATGCAACCTGGCCTGCAACCAAGATTTCACGAACAGTGTGTAACTTTATCAGAGGTCATGCCCAAGCTATTTGTCTCAGCAAGTTCAGACCTATAATTACCTTACTTGGGTTTCTTTTCTGGAAACATCCCCTCGATTGAAAGGAAGTTGAACACCTCCCAATGTATTCAAAACTCAGATCAAGTCTCTGGCTCGACTGGACTTGAGGAACTCACAAGCCGACCTCATACGCTCCTCCTGTGTCAGAGCTGGGACTTCGCCCAAAAGCTCCAAAAGCCCCTGGCGCGACACACTCAGCCGTGAAAGCATCCAGTATGCCTCAGGTGCTCGGTTGAAGAGTGTCTTGGCAATGAGCTTCACCAAATTCACGTCAGGATAGTCCACTGCTACCGGACCATCGGGATTCTGTTCGTATCCTTCCACCACCGACACCGCAGAAGGATCTGGGAAGGAGATGCGCTGACCACCATAGAACTCAGAGCCCCAGTTCGATGACCATGAGTAGAACACCACCTGAGCAAAGGAATGAGAAACAAGAACGTGGGGGCTAGAATTATATATTGACACAATTAGCCTGGCTTGCCACTATTATTTCACGAGCCAAGTCTTTTAGACCTTGGGGTGGTATTATCCCAGGTTTACATCAAATGATTGTGTTTCAGCAAGCAATGGAAGTTGTTATACACAGATATACACCCCCCAGAAAATAGTTACGGCAACTCACCCGCAGTCCTCAGGTGAGCTAGAAAAAAAACCTGGTAGCCAAATCATGATCCCAACAGCAA